TTGTTTTTTTTTCTTTCCTTTAGGTTAAAGTTGCTGTTGTGACAGTGGTGAAGTGACATTCTTCTTTCCTGCTGCTTTACTGTTTGCGGCGTTTCTTGGCGGTGGAGCTGTTGCAACCTTGTTGTTCCTGTTTCGATCTCTTGACTCGTTGGAACATAGTTCTGATTATTATTAATGTTTTTCAATGAGTTTCGGGGTTTTTGCTATGGTGGAGACGTTTCAAACTATAGAGGAAAGGTTAGGAGGAGGAAAAAAGGGTTCAAATGTTTGGATGAGTTTTCATTTCTCATTATTGTACAAGCCAATTGAAACGCCATTCATCCCGGGGTATTGCCCTGACTGGTCCAGCGCAACTTCATCTCTTTGAAAAGAAAGCAAAGCTATAGATGAGTAGAAATGAGTAAAAACAGGTAGAAAATAGAAAAAAAAAAAACAAAGAAGGATGAAAAGCCCTAAGCTACCCAATGTAGTTATGCAAGGATCATCATTCAAAAACAAGAAAATTGAAAAAATTGGACGAGGTTAGGCACCGACGAGCCAGTCGTCCATTTGGACCACCTCGTCCGGCTTCCATTCGGTTTCCGGATGGTGCAGTGTGTTATCAAACGAGGGGATGGTCGGGTTACTACCCAAGGAGAACGAGAGGCCCTGGAAGTCGACGAAGTCTTGGTCCAGGAACGGCTGCGAGAAGGAAACGCAGTCCGATTCCTTGGGGTCCAGGGTGTCGAAGGCAACGTCACTGTGCTTCGCGGTGGAGGTAGGCGAGTGAGGTGTGCTGGGGGTGGGACAGAGATCGGGAGTCGGCAAAGTCGTAGGCAAGGTTTCAGTGGGAAGCCCATCCATGCGAGGCTCCACTCTCGGAGTGTTCTCGACGGAGGGCGTGTGGGACGGCATCCGTTGGGCAGGCGTTTGGCCTGGTTCGGAGCGGTTGCGACTGTGTTGAGGAGTGGGTGTCGGTCGGTATGCGGCACTGGAGGGGATCGCATGCACGGGAATAACCGGTGCAGAACCCAGACGGTCTCGGAACTGGCGCACTGGCATGTTCAAGTCCCCAGGGTTAAAGCCAGCCCAAGGCGTCCGAACGTGCTGCGGGCCGATGTGTGCGGGCCATGTGGGGGTCGACTGGGCAATGTAGGATGGCATGGGACCCGACGAAGCGGGCACCATGTTGGGATGATGGAATGAGGACGGGGAATGTGAGTTCCCGTCGTACGAGGGCGACATCGCGTAGCTCGGGTGGGCGCTCATGGCCATGGGCTGGTGATCGGGCTCCCACGCATGCCCTCCGAGAAGGAGCTGCGAATGCTGGACAGGTCCAGGCTCATTTTGCGTACCCCGTCCATGGGGCCGCGCTGTGCCATCATGGAGGCCCGGCGATGCTGCAAGCCGGGTCGCATGGCCAAGGTGGCGAGGAGATTCTGTTGGAACTGGGTGTTGATTTGCAAATTCTGAGCTTCCAGCATGCGTTGTAGTTTCTCCTTGTAGCGGTCATCTACTTCTTCGTACATGGCCTCTTTTTCAACAATCTCCCGGGTAATCAGGAGAGCTTTGCCGGTCCGCTGCTTATGCAGCTGAGACGCACGGTTGGCCGATTCGAGACGGGCATCGAGGCTCCGATCTTTCCGCCGAGAGGCAGCAATGAACGCTCTGGTCTCATTAGTCGGATCCCTCGTGGAGAGAGAAAGAGACCTACCGCTCTTGGTTTTCCTCACGGGTACGAGGGTTTGGCGAGATCTCAAACTCGATAGGGGAAGCCATTGCGGCGATGATATGGGAATGGCCGGGCTATTGAAGGTAGATCGAGAGGGGAGTCATATACGTATAGATGTACAGGGATACAGAAGAGAAGAAAAAGGCAGGTACGATGGTATAAGTATTAACAGGACTTTTTTATCTCATCTCGCAAAAGAGGCGGGGGGGCAAACGAGGAAGTAAACGAGAGAGTAGTATTTAAATATGTAGTAGCGGACGAGGGGGCCTTTGGTCGTCCACAAAACCCACACCCCCCCTATTAACTTTGCAGCGCAGCTGTCAAGTATATTGGCACTCAGAGGGGGGCCTAGGCGAGCCACTCGCTTTGGAGCAGGTTCAACTTCGGATCCTCGACCTAAGGGCCGGTCAAAGTCTGGCTTCCGGCCGTTCCGTGGGTCCTATTGCGGCCAAAGTTCTCGCACTGATGGTGCTGCGTAGTAGAGGGCTTAACCTTGGGTCGGTTCCGCTTGAGAGGAGTCTTGGGAATTTCAGCAAGTGAAGAAAAAGTACAAAACAGACTCGACGCGAAGCGGGCATTTGCGTAGTACCGGAACCATTTTCCAGGATAGGAGGCAAATTACACGAGCGATATGCGCTGGCTTTCGATTTTACTTCCCCACGATAAGCAGAGGACGCTAAAAGTAGCACTATAATAGCCTGAGAAGTCGAAACATGTTCGGGTTCGGGGTCTAGAACCAAATGGGGAGGTTGTGCTTCATGAGGATCGTCCCAATCGATCTCACCTCCCACCGTTGTGGAGGATCTCCAGTCCGAATCCCACCTGACTCGACAGTTAGCCCCTGCAGTAGCAGCAACGAACATCAACGGTCGCCAGTTTCATGTGCAGAGTTCTCCCAGTAACTTGGGAAGCAAAGTATGAGCCAAGCAGTGATGGCGCCTCCCCCAGATTGACTTTTGTTTTCCCTCCCAGCCTGTTGGCCAACGGGCAGTAAAAGGATTCGCACTGGGTTTACCTGCCCTAAGACTGGGGATGGCACGTCCATTGGTAGAGCGCAACCAGAGACCACGTCTATCAGTAAACTCTGTGAGTTGGACGGGCACGAAGTGCACTGTGATTGATCGCACGGACCATCTGTCCCAGAGCCAGACGGCGCAGGAGTTAGTACTGAGCCTAACGATTTTTACTTCGGGGCCTCTCGGTGATCTCCCTCTCCCCACTCGATGGGGAAAGGTCCAAGACTCCCCATGTGACTGGGTCCGGGTCTCTCAGAGGCCAGATTGGGCAATTTCATGTCGAAGCCCATCTCAATTGCCGTGGGGGGGGTGAACGGGGCATGACAAATTAGAGATACTGACGAGATGCCGCTAAGATAACTGCTAATCGGCAGGGATCCGATTCAATCAAAGCACGAGGGGATGACGAATCTCTTCTTCTAGTATCGCACTAATGGTTTCATCGCCTCTGTAGTGTTGCCTCACCGGAGGATTTCCCCAGTCTCACACTCTGTGCGGTTGGAACTGGAAAGGGCAGTCACGTTGGAACTCTTCGTCGATTAGGGCTAAGTCCCTGCATGGAATCCGCGTGCACCTGCAGGAACCCTAATAGACAACACTGCCATGCAATTCTTCCGTTGGTCCTCGGTAATTACCTAACCTGCTGGTAAGTTCAAAGGTACGAGATGCAAACCACAGGTACGCCCTCAACCCACTGCACCAGATACCATGGCTGTGCGACCGGATGATCTTCCATCACATATTGGCCTCCTGCGCCTGTACAGAGGAGCAGATAAACCTTGAGTCATTTAAAATGGGGGCTTTGGGTTCCTCGCTAGGACCGAACATCGCATCCCAAAGAGGGAATTCCTCGGGGGCAGTCCCGACTCCCGGCAGATGGGTCGAGCCCATGTTTTTCGCCATCCAGGTTGATCCTGGTTCCTCATGAGCAGAGAACGAAATCATATCATTTTTCCAACTGATTCAACTCAGGATCAGAGTAGAATATCCTTACTTAACCGGGTTAAGTCGTCGGCCGCCCGCCACACGGATGACGCCACTCCGCCGATGGTACGACGTGCGTTACTGTTACCGTTACCGTTACTGTTACTGCATACAGCACTTACTGTACTCAGTACCAGCGCCAGAACGGTCTGTATCGACAAAGTACCTAACAATTAAAGTGCTTGGGATCCAACAATCAACCACAGGTACAATGGCGTCGCGTGCCTTGAACTTCCTACATTCCCCTCCGAGAACCAAGGCAGAAAACGCATGTGCCTTTCTAGAATCAAAGAATATAAAATAAACTAGAATCGAATAGAAAAAATAAGATATACTATAGAGAGTAGTTATGGGTCCGTCTCCCCAGCCCGAAGGCGGCTTTTTCCCAAACAGGCATCAGATATCACTCACGCATCAGGAGCTTTTTCTACTCGACATCAATAAGCAAACGCTGCAAGAGGACCCAATCAATCTCACAAACTTAATTCACCCAATATCGCTCATCAAATGGCATCAGAAAGTTGGCCAGGTATAGACAAGAATGCAAGCTGGAGAACTGAACAACACGACAGAACGAAGCAGAAACGAATCCCGTTCGCCATCATCTCTTAAGAATTTCTCTCTCTCTCTCTCTCTCTCTCTCTCTCTCTAAGCAATTCCTAACGAAGGGACCATTCCCTGTTCCTCCTTTTGCTCGTTGCCCACCCGGTACGAAACCTTGAACCGCATCTTAATGGAACTACCTTTGCCCGCTTCCACGCCACTCACCAACATTTCCTGCTGGACTCCGTTCGCCTGGAGAGGAGCAATGTCCCGCCCTGATTGGGGTCGAAGCTGCAAAGTATATGCCTGGTCTCGCATTAGCCCCTGAACTCTATACATTAAACCACCGTAACTAACCTTCTCCACAGCGACTTGGAAATGCAACTCGCTTAGTGGCTGATTGGTGCCGTTGGAAAACAATGCCACCATATGAATCTGCCGGGCCTGCTGGGGGTGCCGCCGCGCCACGAATTCAACCCGCAACGACGAGTTCAACACCTGCACACGATTCGTGGTCGGGAGAGTGTTACTTTCGGGGAGAGAGGACGTGAAATCCCACTCGTCCTCATCGGCCGCTTTGGTGTTGCCAGCTGGGGGCTGCGGCGAGCTGGCTCCTGCCAGATCGAGGAGGGAAGGTCCGGCCGATGCGGGCTGTTGACTGGAGACTCCCGAGGGGAACGGACTGGGGTGTCGGGGGCTGGCAGACACCAGCGAGGCGAAAGGATCGGATGGAGGTGGGGTAGCGGTGGTGCTCTGTGGCCGCATCGCTGCAGGTACAGGCGTAGATGATTGAGATGCAGGGCGGGATGAATTCAACGAAGCCAGGATATCATAGTTGGGTTTGAATGCCGAAGGGGCCTGTTGTACGGGCGGTGTAGCAGAAGGCATTGGGGTCACTACACTCAGTTAGCAACAGGTCGAGGCTCTTTTGAAAACACTACCTACCAGGTCCAGATCCAGGTCCAGGTCCTAGGGAGATACCTCCAGTGAAGGCTGGCTCTTCTATTGAGAGGCCAAGCAGATCGTTCTCGAGAGAACTGCCGCCCGCCGGTTGTGAGGGATTGCCGTTTGAGCTGGGTTCTGGGTCAAAATCGATGAGGGACAATTCATTGTTCGCGTTCTTCGAAACCCCGGTCGTGGTTCCTAGAGTGCCCTTGGGAATCCTCGATGCAGCCTCCAGATCGCCCTTCTTGACTAGTTTGTACCGCTCGATGGTGCGGTGTATGCTATCGTTGATCTCTAACAATTTGTGGACAGCTTCTGGATCGTCGGACTCCTCCTCACACATTTTCTGAATCTTAGGGTGAGCACTTTGTAAAGCATTGGCAAGTTCCTAAGCGGAAGACGTTAGCGGCAACCTTCCCACACAGCCAGTGATGAACCTACCTCGAATACATCCCCTTCCGCGATTCGTTCTCCCGGTTGCTGGCTCTGTAACATCTCCTCCAAGATCTTGGCCTTCTGCTGCACCTTAGCGACCTCCTCTGCCGCCTTAGCCCGGTAGTCGGTTTTGTGTCGGTTGTCAAATCCGGCCATCACCTTCATCAATCGGTTCGCTTCTTGTAAATCCGCCGGTGTGCCTCGACGGATCAACTCCTGGAGCTTCGCTGACTGGGCCTCTTTCTCTTCTTCTTCCATCTCCTCAGCGGAGCGAAGATTCTGGGAATGTCAGCTAGCTATCCTAAAACTAGCACCGATAGGAGAACCTACGTCACTAGGATTTAAAACTGCAGCATCCTCGTTTCGGATTTCAGGAAAGACGTAGCCCTTGTAGAGCAGGAGACGGTGCATATCCCGAATATGTCCCAAATCCTCCTTGTACCTCGATGTCTGACAGATAGTCTGCCTCCATTCCTCGATCGACTCTAGAATGCGATGTTGAACCCTCGAGGGGCGCATCGCCGGCCTCTCGGGGAACCGTCGGACCAGCTCATTCAGAAACTCCTTGGTACTGATTTGAAGGTGGAAAGCGTATCCGCAATTCTTGACACAAATGTCGAGGAGCTATACTACGTCAGCCCCGCACTAGCTTCTCCGAAGATCGGTAAACCTACAGCCAACGCCAGTAAGGAGACATTTTGGTTCCGGGAGTTGATCAGACGGACAATCTCGAGTGCCGCTTCACGGGGACTGTAGACCGTAAGAATGCGCCATCCTACTAGATCGACAGCGACTCACGCATTGCCTTTCTTGGAATTGATCAAGTCCGCAACTTCGAGGTTCAGGGCAAGGTTAGGTTCGTAGTGAGAGATGTCGCAAGCATGACCTAGTCAACACGCACAAGATGAGTTAGAATAAATTCTTCCTACTCAAAGTGGCGGGGGTGGATTGGTCACATACGAACAGCTCGTTGCAGCGGAGTTAGGCCCAGGTCAGCGTAGGCACCAAAGCGGTCCCTAGCTGCCATTCGTGCGGATGCGGCCTCCAGGGTGGTGACGGGAAAGGGAAAGGACAATAATTGAAGCCCCTATGGACAATGTCCGACCGGGACGCAGGGAGACAAAGGAAAGAAGGCGAAGTGATAGGGAAAGAAAGATAGATGCTGGCCAAAAGCAAGCAAGTTGCGGGCGCGGCGTCACTTAAACTCTAGTTGGGTTGAGCTCCACGTGTTGGCGCTTCCGTCGCCGTAGTTGCCCCGTCTTTCCTTCTATGAACATGAACTACTTACTTATTGAAACTAGTCCTCACCATCGGTTTTAGCACCTCTTCACCTTCCACATAACAACTCTTCCTTTTGAATTCGAGGGATCAGAAAGTAACGGAATTATCATTATTCCAACCTATCTTTCGACATGGTCCGACATAAGAAAGACAATTACGCCCGCGGAGGCAAGAAATTTTCCTCGACACCCCGCCCACGTCCAGTGCCCCGCGGCGACGGCGAATCTTCCGACAGGCTTCCTTTCAAAGCAGCCTGTTGGGATCTGGGACACTGTGACCCGAAGCGATGCTCAGGAAAGAGATTGATGCATTTGGGGTTGATGCGGGAGCTAGGTATTGGCCAAAAGTATCCAGGTGTCGTCGTTTCGTACGTAACCCAATTTTTCTCCTCTATACTTTGTAATATCCTCTTGCTGCCTTTCAAAGATCACTCCGCTTTTCTCACTACTATAATAAGCTAACCAGGCGACTGCAGTCCGAATGCGAAGAAAATCATCTCCCCCGCGGACCGAGACATACTAGAACAATATGGCGCTGCGGTAGTGGAATGCTCGTGGGTAAGATTGAAGGAAGTGCCTTTCTCGCGCATAGGAGGAAAGTGTGAAAGACTTCGTATGTTAGCCTTCAAAGCTACTTGATACGATTTACTTACCAATACACCCAGTACCCTATCTTGTTGCAGCCAACACAGTGAACTACGGACGGCCATGGCGGTTAAACTGCGTCGAAGCCCTGGCGGCCTGCTTCTGTATCTGCGGCCACGAAGATTGGGCTAGAGAGGTTCTTAAGCACTTCAGTTACGGTGAAGCTTTCCTCGATATTAATTCGAAACTCCTGAAGCGATATGCCGCATGCGCCACAGAAGAAGACGTCAAACGGACCGAGGAAGAATGGCTGGCTAAGATCGAGAAAGAATACGAAGACAGTCGTGTCGAAGGTGCCGATGATATGTGGACAGTGGGAAATACGAACCGGAGGCCAGATGATTCTGATTCCGATGATAAGGACAGCGAAGATGATGAAGAGGGCGATAAAGAAAAAGAGAAGAATGATGAAGAGGAAGAGCCGGAAGAAGAAAAAGACCCTTTTGCCATCTCGGATGACTCTGAAGAAGAAGAGCAGATGGCCGAAATCCGCCGCAAAATTCTCAACTCCAAGGCTTTTCAGAATCCTACTGTCCCCGACAAGCCACAGCCTGAGAAGATCACCCGTCCAGCTGCAGGGCCTGTTGAAGACTCAGACGCCGAGTCCGGGTCTGCGGGTGGGAGTGACGACGAAGCGTTTGACAATATCATCGATGCGACACCGGTGACGGATCGGACAGGTATTATTGCTGCGACCCGGAAAAAAGGAAACGACACCCTCAGCGCGTCGTTTTCTCGAACGGTGATCAGTGCTCCTAAGAGGTGGTAGCTGTCGGTCCGATTTTATTCTGGGTCTTGCTTGCTTTAGTTCGAACACTCTTCGGGACTCGGGGGGAAGCAGGAAACCGCCGCATATTGGGAAAAGGACAATCCATTTAATGTACAGATTTATGACATATGAGGTTGATGAAATAAAAGTTTACATAGAGGTATTATTTTTTTTCCTCTCTCTCTTTCCTCTTCAATGTCGCCCATCAGCCTTACTAGGGCAATATGTTAAGCAGCCGGGTGGCTGTACCTTGGAGGCCGGACCAATGAGGCAGAACAATCGAAGCCTTCGATTCCCATGATCTGCACCGCCGACATCTTCTCTCCTTCCCCCTGCAACGCGACGATGATGCCAAATGACAACAAACAGAACCCGAGGGGCACGAAGTCCGGGGCAAATGGGACGCAGTCACATAGTAGCAGCAGGACTGTTCACTGGCCAGCGTCACTACAGACCCATGTTCCTGCAGCATTACGTCTAAACTTGAATTTCGCGGGCGTTGGTTCGATCGCATTCAACGCTGTGCCTTCGACGGTCAGGCGCCGCGGAAAACCGAGAAATCTGATAGGGTCACAAGCAACCCCATGCTGACTTGGTTGTATCGGGCGCCAAGCGATGAGCCATCACTCGCCGGAGTATACGACAGACGACCTCTTTCATTCGCGGTCACAGCCAATCTATTACCCGCTATCGAAATGTCCGCCCTGACCTTTCGTTCGCCTGACTGTTCCTGATGATAGTGACTCAGATTAATTTGCCGCTGGGCCAGAAAGGGTCACTGCCCCGTGGCTTAGGACCAATACGATGAAGTACATGCGAAGATCAAGAGGGCTATCAGCCTCACGCATATTTGCTGGTGATATATAAGAATAGACACAGGAAAAGTAAAGTACTAATCTCTGGTTAATTTTTCGCGGAATAGAATGCTCCCTTAGATTACAAAACTATCATCGCTAAGTTGACCGTTTTACCTCTTACTCTACCTTGACGCTGAAAGTTCTCTTGCGACCCCCTCAGGATGGTTTCACCGACAGCTCAAACGAAACATCCCCCGGTCATTCAGAAGCTTGAACGCTTGGGGGACCGCTCGTGGAGGAGAGATTCAATGCTGCACTTCCTGACCTCCTTCCTATGGAAGCAGCCTTCGATTCAGGCAGTAGATATCCGGCAGCATACAGTGTGGTTATTCGACAATACCGCTTATCTACGCACGACCCCAATCGCTAAGGGGCTGAAAGAGTCGTGGCACGCAGAAGTCGTCGCTTGCGTTTTTCGAAGGGACAGCCGGAAGGATATGAGTAAGATCGTTGCTATGATTGCGGATCTCATTGGGCTCGACGGAGAAATAGGCACCGAAAGGGAGACACGCCATCAAATAGCGCGACGGTTACAACCTTTCCTATATCACGTTATGCCTGCACGTATGATGATGCTCGAAATTCCACAGCCGAATAGCACTACCATCATCCAGCAACTTGGTCCGACAAACAGCAATGGCATCAGCATCCAGGTGGTGAATATGGGTAACCGTCGCATCGCAGATGGAAGTGTAGTTCTCTCGTATCTCCGCGGCTCAAGAGACAATGTCGAAATGCGAACCTACTTCGCTGGCCCCAAAGGTTGGCTCGTGATATCGGACATCGATGACACGATCAAGTATACCAAAACCTCCGAGTCTACTGGAATTCTTCGAACAACCTTCGTCGAAGAGCCGAGGCCTATTGCCGGGATGCCTGAGCTATATTCTCACATACACAGAGAACTTTCGCCAGCATGGTTCTACGTGTCTGCTTCGCCGTACAATCTGTATCCGTTCCTGCGAACATTTATTCATACGCATTTCAATCCTGGGACCTTGATCCTCCGAGACTCCTCTTGGCTGGACGTCAGTGAACTGGTTAAGTCATTCACAGTAAATACCATGGAATACAAGGTACAACAAATCGAGAAAATCCGATGCCAGTTCCCTCAGCGTGAAGTCATTTGTATCGGCGACACAACGCAAAAGGATCCGGAAGCATACGCAGAGGTCTATAAGAAGCACCCACACTGGATCCGCGCCATTTGGATCAGGAAAGTCACCGATGTCCCACATCTAGAGGATCAAAATTCTCCAGAGAGATTCAAGGCAGCTTTTCAGGGTGTTCCGGACCAAATATGGAAGGTATTCGAACAACCCGAAGCAGTGTTCGACTTCGTGAGTGATCTGAACGTCGACACTACCACACATTCCTCTCACGAGACGCATTAATGGCCTGGATATATTCACGGCAACCGGTTTATCCTGCATGGTGTGTTGCAACCCTAAAGCGAAGTATAAAAGGCTGTTGCTGATATAAGCGGAAGCAGACCCTCGTTACGTCAACATGAGATTATCTACATCACCGGAAGCCTAGCGATTTCCCCACAGCTTCCCACTCGGAACTTTCCTCTTAAATGACCTGCTCTCATTGCAGAGTTGCGAACCTGACTTCATGGGACAGTCATAACCGGTGTCGACGGCACTTTGGTGCACAATATTGAGGGGCGAAGTCTGTGTTGGCGGGTTATATACTCGTTGCCCCGGCCGGGGTTCTAGTCTTCATCCAAATCGGAGAAAACAGAGTAGGATCGACGCCGTATCACACATATGTCATACACTAAACCGTAATGAAGCCAGCAAAACCCTTTTCTACCACAATGGATGAGCAAACGTTCGTCCCGGGGACTATGAGAGCCCTATATCACCGACCGGCTTCTACTGCCATCACCGACCAGACGGCTTTGGATGCGCCCAGGGTGGATTCGGAGATGATCTTCGACACGGACTTCCCGGTACCAAAGCCAGCAGCAAATCAGTACCTCATTAAGGTTCAAACAGCGGCTTTCTCTCATGACGGACTAAGGCTCGCTCGAACCCTTCACCCGTCAAAATCAATCCCTCAGATTCCCCTACACAACTACTGCGGCATAGTCATCAGTACTCCCACCGAAGACCACACTAAACCAGATGGTCCAAAGTTCAAAGTCGCCGACACCGTCTTTGGACTCATCAGCAACACCCGCGACGGCGCCGCTGCAGACTACACAGTCGCAACCGAAAATGAGATCGCGTTGAAGCCGAAGAATATCAGCGCCGCCGAGGCATCTACCATCCCTGGACCTGCTCTCACAGCATGGCAGGCTTTGTTCACATACGGGGGCCTCGACAACAACGATGCTCGCCGTGAGCTGCGCGTTCTAGTGACCAATGCCCGCGAGAACGAGGTCGCTGCCCAGGCGCTCCAACTGCTCCGAGCTCGATCCCTATTTCCACACTACCGGCCATGGATCTGCGCCACCTGTTCATGCCCGGAGCACGACGACTTCCTACGCGACCAAGTCCAGGTGGACGAAGTCATCGACGCCGCGCTCCCCTTACCACAAGACTTCGATCTCGCCAAGATCTTCCGCAAGAACAAATGGGAGCCAGTCGACATCATCCTCGACTGCGCCGGAGAACAGATGTTCAATCTCGCCCACTCATCCGACGTTGTCAAAAACAATGGCATCGTCCTGACCGCCGTAGACGACACAGCCGTGCAGCCCAAAACCGCCGACAGAGAAGCCCAGACCCAGAAACAAGGTCTGTTCAGTCGATTCGTCGCCTTGAACCCGGATGGCAAGGCACTAGCCCGTATTGCGGAGCTGGTCGAAGAGGGTTCCATCCGAGGCCGGGTTCAGAGTATCGTGGACCTGGCCCATGGAGCGAATGTCCTAGCGTCTGAGGCGGCTGGTGCTGGTGGAGCTAGGAGAGGGGGAATGATGGTCTTCCGGGTGAATATTTGATCTCTCTTATCTTTCTCTATCTAAATTTTTTGCGTATATTTCTTTATTTTGTTTGTTCACATTCAGTCCAATAACTCCATAGCATCAAGCGGCATTTAGTTGAATTTTCTGATTTTCATAGTCAATGCTACACTGTTATCTTCATACTTCGTAGCCTAGACACCAAGTCCTAATCTACGACTTACTCCAACATAAACACACTTAATCAGAGACGGGGGGAGCAGGCCATAAACATGATCAATATCAAGAATACTCACATTAAATAACGACATACCAGAACGTAGAGAAAACAGTTCCCATACCACAGCCACACACGGCAGAGAAAGATAGAGCAAAATAGACAAATTCAAGCATACACACCTCAAGAGGACGAAACAGTCGGTACCTTCCTTCCATGAACCTGATATACACAAGAGGAACAGTAGGCAGTAAAAGAGGAAGTAAGACAGTGATCCTCAGACCAGAGAAACAGATAAGAAAGATAAGGGGACAACAGCCATCAATGAATAAACATCATGAAGAAGAGAAGTTAATTGATTGATTCATTAGATGGGCAAAAATCGGTAAAGTTCGTAGACAAGAAGGGTAGGAAAAAGAAACATGGTAAGGAGATGAAAAAAAGGAAAATCATGAAGACACTGTTCCAGCCTATGCTCCTCCTACTTTCTTGCTTTTGTCTGTTGCTCTTTCTTTTTCATATCCTCTTGAGCCGCAAACCAGTTGGGCTTCGGTTTTTTATCAATCGGGACATCGGGTGCGGGCTTTGTAAAGGATGATGGAACGGTTGGTTGTGTTTTTCCTTTCTCTTGTGCTTTTCTGGTTCTCTTTGTCCGTAATTTTGGCTTGCGTTGGTGGCTAGGTATGCTTCGTGCGCGATTCTATGGAATACACATGTCCTTATCATCTGAACGGGAAGGATATGCTCGCAATGCTAACGTGGTCGACAGGAAAGACATGGATAAACAGGCAAGATCAGATCGAGGGAGATCAGAGAAATCAAACATTTCGTAGAATAATGCATAGGACCGTATTCGACGGCTGAATCATATAAAGTCACTCCGCCCAATTCCAACCGCATGCCGGAAACTACTGCTCAGTAGCCAAAATAGGAAAGTAAAAGAAGAACTCCTGCTGAAATTTTCTGGGAGAGGGATCAGGGGAATAAGTAAGATGGATGGCGAAGGCAAAGAGTGATAAGACATAGGAGGGTGATAGATGAAAGCTCCTACAGTAAGGAGTCGAGTCTAGTGAAAACGCTCAAACATGCTGCAACAATCTGTGAGGTTTTCGTTAGTGGTTTGCAAGTCAATATTCTGCAGAAGGAAAACGAGCATACCTCCAACTGAAGCTCTCTGTCCTTAGCCTTGTTCACCTCCTCGTTGATTGCCCCCGCCAAATTAGCTCCAATTGCCTGCGAACCACCCGCCCGCCGGGCAAATGGCCACTGGGAGTACTCTGCCAGTAACTCATCCACCTGCGCAAAGGCTCTCTCTCGAGCCTCGTGGCTCATTGTGACCAGAGCGTTTTCCAGGACGTTCGCCGCGTAAGCTGCGCATACCATCGTGATCGTCCGCAGGTAGCGGAACTCGGAGTCCTCAGGAAGCCACTGGTTAGGCGGAAGAATCACAGTTCGATTGCTGCACACATTGCGCACCCGACGGTGGAGGTCGTCTTTTGCGCCGCCGTCGGCGACAGGATGTGTAGCCATGTCAAAGAGGAGGAAATTGCGTTTCTCAGTCCGAAGAATGCCCTTGTCGACAAGACCCTTCGCCAGACGTTCACGCACTTGCTTCAACTGGTAGCCAATCTTCATCAAGTTCCATGTTTCACCTGTCACGCGTCCCCCGTTAGCACCCGGGCCCTCTCGAACATCGAACATAGAGAGCATCAGTCGTACGTACCGCTCATGAGATCAATCCAGGAGTTCACGCTCATCTTCTCGCTCGATTTCATCATCTTCAACGCCTCGTCCAGCAAGACCTCCCCAGTCAATGTATCGTCGACGACTTCAATCACACGATCGGCCAAGGGGAAGCGCCGTCGAGAAGAATCCTTCTGCATGCTAATACGACCGCGGAGGGCCAATTCTATCACAATGCATCCTCTCAAAGCGTACGAAATGTTCTCGTTCCAGAAAGACAGGTAACCCTAGAGATTTCCCGAACCGGTGTCAGCATCCAGACTGGGGATCGCAACGCGCCATTCCCTAGCGTAAACGAGTGGTTCAGGGCGCAAGACCAACCTGTTTATCTTTCAACCCCAGCAGTAGTACTTCCTCCATCAACGTCAGCTTGGGCTGCTTGCTTCGTTCTTCGGTCTCGCTGAGGTCTCTGGGGTCGAATGCGATCTTGTGTCCATTCTCGGTACTGGTGAACGACGTCTCGGGAATACGGTTATCCAAGGAAGAACCATTTCTGGAGACTGGCGAGGAGACTCTGCTGTCATCGTTCTCGTCTGCGCCAGCGACTCGACCGCCACCTCTTCGGCGAGTCAAGCCCCCGGCTGAGGCCATGAGGAGATAGGGGATCGGAGTTCGGGAGCGGAAAGGAGAGCGAAAGCACGGTCGGGAAGAATGTCAGGAACCGGAATCTATACCGCTATGACCTGCGACACAGACCGTTTACCAGTTTGTTGAAGATAGCGTGCTTGACGGGTGAGGGAAGAATATCCCGAAAGTTTGCTGGGCGGGTAATTGTCAGGGGGGAAGAGTGGGAGGAAGAGGAGTGAGGAAGAAGGACACGAGGCGGAGAGTGTGCAACTGGAACTGTCCCGAAACGGTCGATCAATAGGAATTAATTCAGGCGGACCAGATGGAGTCCCTTGCGCCAAACCGACACCAGAATAGAAACTTCGATGGTGTTTTGAAGTTCAAGAAATTCTCGATTGGTATTAAGTTAACGGCTCAACTTTTGTTCCTCTCCTTAGCGTCAATGCTTCTCCGGTGACGGACCACAAAAACCATGTCATTTTATCTAACCTGGAGGGCCCATACAATCTTTGTATATAGAGCATTTTTCCTCTCTTACTCTCACACACCCAGATATTCTACCATGGAATACTCTATTTTACACATCTCGAACTAAAACCAGTACGCCAGAGGGTTTCGCCCCTTATCCTTATATCTGTCTGATATTTCTCTGAGTCGCTTCGACTTGTTCCGCTCCACGTCATCCTTCGTGAAAGTCGTCAGAGCAACACGGTTTCAGATCCACTCCTAAATTGTCTTAATTTCAAGAGGCCGGGTGGCATGTACAACATGCCCAATTCATCTTGAGGCCCGCATCAATTCAATCACCGAACAGATAACACCAATCCTACATGCTCGAGCGGTTTACATCGAACTATTGGCGCATAACGAGGTCCTCAGGAAACCTGGTAGCAACCCACACCCAACAGTAATCAATCAAACTGCATTCAAGATGATATACACGATATAGTAGGGTGAAACAACACCGGCATGTATCAGCATACAAGTAGCGTTTCCACGCTGAGACCCCATGTAGATGCACGCCACCATCCCCTTCTTTTCTATCTAACCCGCAAAATCATTCAGATCTTCGTATTACATAATTTAGTGGGCTGCGATACCAGTTAGTTGTGGTCAATTCAAACACGTTGACATTGTCAAAGCAAGGCAGGACTTACCATCGGGCTGGGCAAGGATGTACTCAACAGCCTTGTCAACTGTATCAAAAGATGAGTATATGGACGGTCGCCGCGTTCTGCCCATCAAAGGGCCTCGTTCAGATAAAGACTTACCACTGTGGATGGCATCGGCATCCTTGTCGGGGATCTCAATGCTGAATTCCTATTCGAGATAAGACGTCAGGATTCAACTCGAGACCAGTATAATAGGGAATGTGCTATAACCATACCTCCTCAATGGCCATAACAACCTCCACGGTATCCAAGCTGTCAAGTCCAAGGTCGTTTGCGAAGTGAGAAGCACCGTTGATCTGATAGGTTGAATTCCCTTAGTTCATCGTTCTGCGTGCGGGTCTGAACCGGTCCATCAAACACCCGGAGACACCAAATGTTAACTAACCTTGCTGGCATCGGAAACCTGTACAGTGATTGGATACATTAGCCATTTTTCAAGTTTCCCGGCGATGATTTTGGGATGGTCTTCATTTCCGAGGCGGGAAAGTAACCCGACGTACCTTGTCAAAGTTCTTCAGAAGGTTGACTATCCGACCCTCGGCTTCCTCCTTGTTGAGACCGGCAGGAGCGGAGTAGAGACGGACGCCCTGGTAGGCAAAGCGAGGAGCGAATTGAGCAGCAGGAGCGCTGCGGATCTGGAAGGTAGCTGGGGCCCTGACGGCACGAGGAACGGAGGCCCTCAAAGAGCGGACAACAGCGGAACGGAACATTGTGTCGGTTGGAGAGGAATTGAAAAAAGGCGCAATTGCCGGGGAATTAAGTAGGAACGAGAAAAGGAGGGCGGTGGTGACGAGAGAGTAGAGTCGGGAGTGGTAGGAAAGATGGACTTATGAGCCTTGGAGTTTCTGAAGTTCTGCTTTGGCGTTGCGGCTCGGGGGAAGCAAAAACCTGCGGCCGGCCAATCACGGGGCGGCAGAAAGAAATGACCTAAGCCCGCCGGCAAACCACCAAAAGCGACTTTCGTGAACCTCTCCCAGTTGTCCTGTTCCCACTTTGAACCCCCCCAATTGATTCCCCTCACCACTCCATTCCCCTTCTCCAGTCCGCTATCTCATCCCCCGCCATGGCCTCCTCGAAGTCGGTCGCGAGGCTGGTCGCCTACCGCCGGCCTGCGCCTTCTCTGTTGACCTCTTCTTTCCGTCCCTTGGGCTCAACCGCAAACTTCTCCTCCTCGGTGTGCCGGGCTGCTACCCCAGCTGGTCCCCCTCCATCCGGTTTCCGTCTGGCTCCCCCCAAGAAATGGGACGAGACCACCGAGTCCTCTTTGGACAAGGCCAGCAAATACTTCCTGATGTCGGAGATTTTCCGCGGCATGTACGTCGTGTTGGAGCAGTTCTTTAGACCACCGTAAGTCGCCCTCTCCCGCGCCCTATCAAGCTCCTCCAGTCGTTTAGGAGCCAATTGGTATCCCGTGTGGTCATTTACTACTGCTGTGTATCATGTTCGCGTGCTGGGACATGCTACTTGGGATTCTCGACCGGTCAAACAGCTTGACTGATGTGATATCATACTCCAGTTACACCATCTTCTACCCCTTCGAGAAAGGCCCCATCTCCCCTCGTTTCCGTGGCGAACACGCCCTGCGCCGTTATCCCACCGGTGAGGAGCGTTGCATCGCTTGCAAGCTTTGCGAAGCTATCTGCCCTGCTCAGGCTATCACCATCGAGGCCGAGGAACGTGAGGACGGAAGCCGTCGGACGACCCGTTATGATATCGATATGACCAAGTGCATCTACTGCGGTTACTGCCAGGAGAGCTGCCCCGTTGATGCCATTGTTGAGAGTAAGCACCAGCCATCCTAAGATTAGATCCCTTGAATGCCGTGACTGACCTGCTGCAACACAGCTGCCAATGCTGAATATGCCACCGAGACCCGTGAGGAGCTGCTGTACAACAAGGAGAAGCTCCTGGCCAACGGTGACAAGTGGGAGCCTGAAATTGCCGCCGCTGCCAGAGCTGACGCTCCCTACCGTTAAAACAATACCAGCTGCTTTCATATCACAAGGGCACTCTTGAATTAGGTGTCACATCACGTAAATCCACCTTTAGATAAGATGGATTCAAAAGAATCTTATCATAAAAATCACATAAGGGAAAGACAAACTTTTCCTTCAGAGGATATCCAAGGGTCGACACCCTCATCTTCCCACTTTGTACATATCTAACGCTTAGCCTGCTTTATTACCAGATGTACTAGTCGGGTTCACAGGGGATCCCAGTCACTAGAATTCCGGCTCTGTTCTTTTATTGTCTTGATGTTGGAGGGAAATCCCGCATGGCTTGTTCTTGTTTTCTATACTGTTTTTGTTAGGGAATAAATCTAAGAGTACTTCATTTTCTTTTGTTTCAAATCTTTAAAGAACCCTACAAAAGAGATAGGATGAAACCAAGAAAACTCCTTTGAAATTTATGAATATCAACAGGTGAATCGCTGCCTATGCACATATGCACAAATAACAAGATAACCCCCCAAAGAAGCCCAAACACCAATTCCCACACTCCTCGATTTTCTTTTACCTTTTGATCACTTTTGTTCTCCGCAGAGCAAGTGCTCATCCTCAAGGGCTGCTGCGGAAGGATATCTTTCTTTTTAGATACATAAGTTGGTATTACATACTAGTCACTGTTCATTTCTTTCCACCAGATTTGCCCTTGAAGCTTCCCTCGAAACCGGGTCTAGCTTTTTTCTTGCCTGCAGCGGATTTCTTGCCCTTGTTTCCCTTTTCTTCGCGGCGTTTCCGGAGGTTGTCTTCGCGCTTCTGTTGCTTCATTTCCTTGCCCTTACGGACCGTTTCTATGCGCTCCTTCCATTCACGCTCGGACTTCTTCTTGGCGGATTCCTTGCGCTTGAGAGCCTTCTTCAACAAGGAAGTGTCATCCCGGACGCGTTCACCATGAGCGCGCTTCTTGGCGTTCAGCCACATATCTTTCTCTTCGAGTTCAGCACGTTTCTCGTCGTCCATGCTTTCCAGTCGGGCCTTCTTAGCCTCAACGGCTTTCAAGGCTGAAGCGGGGTCATGGGCACCATGGCGCTTGGGCTGATCGCGCACGTTGTTCAGACTGGGATCAGCAGCCTGGCCATCGGCGAAGACGACACGACCGAAGGAATAATTAGCGGCGCTAGAGCCCACCGACTCGGCTGGGGAGCGAGGCGAGGCGAGAAGAGAGCCCGACCCACCTGGGGAGAAGCGGCGGGCCAATGCATCGTCCTTCAACCGTTGCTCTTCCTCCTTGGCCTTCTGTCGTAGCTCTTTCTTGTGCGCCTTGCGTTGTTCTGCCTTCTGTCTGCGGGCCTCGATCAGCTCTTGGCGGTTTCTCGCGGGCTTGCCGTTCAGCCCGTCTGCATGACGGGCTGCGCGAAGCTCATCAAGACGCTTTTGTAGTCGTTGCTTCAGCTCTTCGGGTGTGGACTTGAGGGGCTTTTGATCGGATGATGAGTTCTTAGAGGCATCGTTGGGAGCAGAAGGGGGGACAATAGAAGATATCGAAGAGGCGCCCGATTGAAGAGCGGAGGCATCGAAACCAGGGGAGTTGGGGGTAGAAGAAGAGGAAGACTGTTCTGTTTGCTCTGGGTTGAACTCGAGAGAGAGACCTTCGGCCTCTTCTTCATCAACGTCGTCATCATTATCGTCATCCTTTACAGGTGGCTTTTCTTGCTTCTTGTTCTTATCACTGGCAGACTTAGACTCTGGCTTCTGTGCAGCGTCAGCGGCAGCGGTTTTAGCCTCCTTATCTTGCTGTTCTTTCTGCTTTTCCTTCTTAGCGGCTTCTTTAGCCTTCCTCTTCTCCTTTTGTTGCTCTTTCTTCTGCGCCTTTTTCTCTTCCTTTAGTTTCTTACGTGCTTCTGCCTCTTCTGACTTCGCCGAGTCGTCGGATTGCTTCTGTTTCTTTGCCGCATCGGCCCGCTTCAGGCCTTCCTTAGGCATTTCTGAGCCGAGATCTTCGTCCTCAGATGATGCGGCCTCATTTTGACCCTCTTCTTGACGCTTGCGTTTCCGGGCGTTCTCGTCCATTACGTCTTTAGCGGTCTTCGCGGCATCGGGGTCCAATTTCGCCCGTTTCGCCTCACGAGCTTCCTCCTTCGTCTGCTTCTTGCGTTTCCATTGGTCCTATGAAGGATATGGGTGGTCAGCCACGCCTGGCGCAGAACAAGCTGGAGACCGTGGGGAAAACGGGACAAAAGGCATCAAAGACAGCAGGCAGTAGAATCACATACACTACCATCCTCCCCATAATAGTATTTCGCCGGAATCAACGACAAGAGGCCATCAAAAGCCTGGGCGTGGCTACGCAACCGATCCTGTAGAGCCAAAAAATTTCCCGATCGTCAATTTTCAATTCTGGGGCCGGAATGCAATACCACAAGAATCATGGACGAACAAGGGGAAATCAAGCCCACATACCTCGATATCATCCATTTTTTCCCACTTGAATCGGAGATTCACAGCAGCTCCGTTCCGGGTATTATGTAGGATTGGGTGATTATCACCTGGACGTTGAGGGGGTTTTCTTGAAGTATGGACGCGATACTCTCGAAAAAATTGGGTGGGCGGTTCGAAATCTTGGCGTTCTTTTTCTCCGCTTGCTTTTTGCTGGCTGTTCACCGCCTGCCACATCGTGGGTTTGCTGACTTATCATATCGACTATGCTAACTTTATTTGTGTTGAGTATGTCAGTTTACTCCTCGCTAATATACAAGATCTACTAATCTTAACGGAAGCCGGAATTAGTCAATAGAAGAGGTGTTTTACCCTGTTGTTAACTGTCCCCATACTACGACGGCATCTCTCTGTATGAGATAATCCACTTTGCTCCAATATCAGTCTGACTGACCGCCCTACATGGAATATTACATTTCTATTGTGTTCTACATGACAACCCAACAATAACTCAAAATTGAATACCCTACCGATCCAATTTATCTTTCTTAAGATGAACGAGAGCAAACACACATTCTACCTCTTGGTTTAGCACTTGTCCATGACGTAATTAGCATTCCACTATACATCTTCACTCTAATCCAATCTAAGGATGCACATGCAAGTTCCGATGCAAAAACACCCTGCTGTATCTTCCATGCCTTATCCGTCAACGGGTGTAGTAGCATATATCTACGGAAAATCTCTCCCATATCATGTTGCGCTTCCTGTGCTGCATCCAAATCCAAGCTACTAGTTCCAGCCATGTAGCATATGACCACTTATGACCTCCTCGCTTATGGGTATAAAAAGTGCATCAACACGCAATGAATCATCAAAGCTCAACCGTCAATTCCTCAGGAATATCTAACACAGGACAGTCCTCACTGCGGATGTCCGTGATATTGTCATACGGGAACGGAATGGTCCAGATCAGATCAAACCTACCAGAAAGGCCCCGTTAGTACAAAGAACTCTCCTCATATAATTAACGCCTTCTTGAACAGCACACCAAACCACCAAGATCAATACTAAGAGGAATATGAAGGCCAACATACCGATCATCCGGATACTCAGGCGCATCATCATACCCCAACGCCTGAACCAACTCTCTCATCTTTCTATGCCGCCAGGAGATCAGGATATTGCCGGGTCCGTCATAGTCATTGACTGCTTTTGCGACGCAGTGGACTTTATTCCGCTTGCAGGAGGTGTCGACAGTTAGGCCGAGGTCTGTGGCGAGTGGAAGAACGGTCTCGTAGGAGCGTCGGTGCTCTCCTTCTATCGGATTGGTCAATTATGCTGTCTATGGGCAGGTACTTTGGATTTTTATGTGTAGTATCCGGATTAGGGGTCTGTAGGGTTGCAGAGAATACTTGCTTTTATTAACATGCGGTGCCATTATATAGCCAATATCGTAGGGTGAGGCTTCTCCGAACACGCCCCGGACGCATTCAGCTCGTTTCCAGCCATCTGCGTTTAGTCCACTGTCTAGGGGATCGCCTGACTTTTCGCCATGACGGATGAGATATACAGTCGGGGGGTATGAGGCATACGCTAACCGGTGCAAAGCCGAAAAAAGAAAAAGATGCAAAAGCAAATAAAGAGTAGTAGCCATTTTGTGGCAGCTAGCTAACCTAGTCTATAGGCCTGACCAGAGAACAGCAAGAAGGAAAAAGCATTGTAAAACAGTTCAGGTGAACCCACCCCTTTAAACTCCATAACCAAAAAGAAAAAGAAAGTAGTATAACAACAGTACTCAAAAAATAAA